GCTGCTCTCGCTCCGCTCTTGCGCTATACACGCGGCTAGCCCACCACAGCAGTTACATACACAACATGAGGCACCCCCCAACTCTCGAAAAGAAATAACAACGATTCCCACCTTCAGCACCCCCCCCCCTCCGGGTCCCCTACTTTATACTGATGTGTTTTGCGCCGGCTTGGGCACCTCGAACCACTCCGGCCGAGTCATGTAGGCCAGCACCGTTAGGACGCCCCACCCCAGCGTCACCACCCCTGTCCAAAAGCTCAGAGTTAAATCAAGCGGAAAATTGAGGAAGCCCACGCTGCCGGCGTTCGCGTCGAACAAACAGGGCGAGGCGAGGATTGGGCAGGGGGGGGGGATTGGCGAGGGCGCCCGGGACCCGCCCCAATTAAAATTGGATACCTCAACACCTTCCAGGGCGACAATGGTGAAATGAGGCTTCGCTCGTGTAGAAAAACGCAACACGTTGTCAGCCCCCCCCCCCCCCCCCGGAAAAAAAACCCCCCCAAAAGGGAAATTTTAAAATTTAAAAAAATGTCCCATTTTCCCACCCCCCCCCCCCACTTGTATGATGTACCGCCCCCTGTTGAGCCCGCCTATGCGGTAGCGCCGATGCTCTCTCGCTTTCTCTCCCTTCTCTTCTCTCTCCAATACCCGCCCCATTTTCGCTCTTGCCTTGTCTGTATGTCTGCCTGTCTAGACCTTGTCGTTTCTGTTGTTGATATCACTTGGTATTGTTTCGTCTGAAATGCGAGGCACCAGCGCCGACGCTCTCTCTCTCTCTTTTCTCTCTTTTCTCTTCTTTCTCCAAACCCTCCCCATTGCGCTCTTGTCTTGTCTCTCTGTCTGCCAGTCTGTCTGTCTAGCCCGTGTCGTTTCTGATGTTGATATAACTTGGCATCGCTTCGTCTCAATGCCACCCACCAACACTCAGCAACAAGTGCCATGCTGCTACAGCTGCTACGCCTCTACAGTCCTTGCTACACATTATTTAGCACGTCCGCCGTATGTACAAACATGTGGCGATTTGCTGCAAACAGCACAGCCTTGTGGTGACTGAAGGGCAAATAGCTCGGGCTGGGCATGATTGCGAGGCTCAACTCGGCACCATCCCGTTGAGACGTTTTGGGTTCAGTTCTAAATAGCGCATCCACGCCATCCTCGACAATGCCCGCACGCAGAGGGAGGACCACACACATGATACTGTACGCATACGCTGGTGGCGAAGTGACGTCATAGAAAACCCGCGTGCCTGTGCTTGTACATCATTAACGGCTACATCTAGATTACATTCTTCGCAAACAGAACTATGGAACACGTGACAACAAAGATGTTATTTGAGAGCGACAATGGATGCTTGCGCACGCATTGGCTGCTACATACGTGGCCAATACTCACAAAACGAGGTAGAGCCCTCGTCCCTTGGCCCCGAAAAAGAAACCGAAATTCTTGGTCATGATCTGCTTGGGCCGCTCGCAATTCCCCATTACTCGCACGAACTCATACATAAAGAGCAATACGGCGAATATCCTGTGCACAAGACAATAACGAAAACGCGCAGAATTGGGGGGGGGAGTCGTGTTAAAATACGAGCAGGTAGGGCACGGACGTGGGGGTCGACAGAGTGCATGAAAACAGAGACATGAAAAACTCGCTTCAACCGAGGAAGGTGAAGGAGCCAAAGACGACCCATAACTACAACAACAAAGAGTGACCACAAACGAAAACAACTGTTCTCCCTCTCTCTGTGCGTGTCTGTCTCTCTTTCTCCCCTCATCCCCCCCACCCCCCCTCCTCTCTCTCTGTCCCTCTCCCTCTGTTCCCCTCTCTCTCACATGAGATAGACCGACAAGACCACATTCTCGAAGTTCCTGAAGTCGATCAACCCGAAGGCCGCCGAGGCCGCCATCATCACTGCCACACCGATGTTGACGAAGTGGAAAACGGATCGGACGACCGTCCTGTCATCGCGCCAGAGAGCCAGATGAAACATGCGGACGGCACGGGAACCAACGCAACAGGCAAGGTGAATCCCAACACGCACATGCAAAGGAGTGGGCCTGGCTTGAGCACAATTACTATGGAAGTACGACGTCTTTGTTCTTGAAGCTGTTGCCGTAACTGCAGTCTTATTTGCCAAAAAAACAACGCGCATGCCATGTACTACCCACGAAACCTCCGCAACTTTGAGTCGTCATCACATGGAGGCAAGAGATAACGCTGCCGTGGTCGCAGGCTGGCAGCGAAAGACAAACGGTACACGAGAGTGCCAACCGCAGGGCATCGATACGCCCCTTCAAACCGGGGGAATCGGCAAGCACACATACAGCGTGTCTGCCGCGAAAAACATGCGTTTGACTAAGGAAAAAAACGATACTTTGGTAGCCAACAGGAGTCAAGCGCGGTGATTCTCGCTGCACACGTTAGGGAACGTCCGGAGGAACACGAAGGGCGGCTGCGTGGCCCATGAATCAATCTTAACCTCGGCGCTTGACTCGAAATTGGTACAAGGGCGTCGAGCGCCTATGCCACACACACATCTGGCATATCCATGTGTCGCCATCGCCTCCAGAACCAAAAGTCTGATCGAACCCCCCCAAGAGCCTCGACACCAGTGAGGTTGGCGTGGAATTAGTCGGTGGCAACGCTTGAACGCAGTGACAGCACCTCTCCTTGAAACCGTTTTCGTTGGTTGACCATGTGTTTCGAATTGAAAAGACGACCCACGCGGGAGATATCACTGTGTGCTGCGCGGGAAATCGTGGAAATACAGAACTTTCGCTGACGCCATGGATTCATTGCTAATCTATCTTAGATTATTTTCTTATATTTCGTTGGGTCATACTGAGAAAATAAAAAAAACGACCGACGAGAACACAAACTCGCCGCTGATGCGCGAAAAGCGACCTCGGGAAATCCATGTGTCGCGCAACACCACTACCAGCAGCGAGACAAGGGCGGTAAAATGACGGCATGGCCGTTGATCCGCAAGGTGACAGGTGCGCTGAATCTGCAGCATTTTAGCAGCAAGTAGAGGAAGCTAAGCTGCAGCAGCAGCTGCTGAATGTCAAACTTGTCAACAACGTGCAAGAAGGTAATGGGGACTAACCCCAACCATTCAGGTTTATACAGCAGGGGGTGAAATTACCCACAGGGTGCGTTTCGGAGGCGTGCCCCCTGAGCACTTTCCTCACATCACAAGGATTCGGATGGGCATTCCTGGGTATGATCGGACCCTCCTTCTCCACATTCTGCCCCCGAGTTTAGGGTTAAATCCTGTGCCACCAAGCTTGAGTGGTGAAAAGCGGTAGATTTGTACCGTCAACCCAAACACGGGATCGCAGGCACTCAATTCTGCGGCGGCATTTCTCATGGTCTCAACGCTTGCGTCGTGCCTTTGAAGACTTGTGGGGTGCAATGCGGTGCCGCCGACAAACAATAACAACAACCTTCACATGGTCTGTGGCACATGCCATCTTTTCAAGTATAAAAAAATACACTTCAAATACGGCAAATGTATGCTATGTAGAATGCTGTGCCGACCCAGACCGTAAATCAATACGAGGCGTGTGTGTACTAAATACGCGTGCTGTTGCTGCTGTTGTAAATCTCTTGTGTTATCTGAGAAAGGCACGTGTCCGCACCCGAAGTGAGCTCACATGCCCTTCCGTGAGAGAGAAACCGAACACCAACGCTGAATGCCATGATTCGTCGGTCACGTCCCAGTTGAATCGGCCATCTACACTTACACAGCAGAGTACTGCCGTAGTCCGCGAAAAGGACCAAGTGGTTTGTAAGAGAAAATTGACATTGACGCGAAAAATGCCCAACAACTGGCTGCGACGAACACGGCTCAGCGGTGGATCCTAGAAACTGTGCTCGACGGGGGCGATGAAGCAAAAAATTGAGCCCCGACCCGTTCTGATGTACTTCGTATCTGTCCCATCTCCTGGTGCCAACCACTTGTATTCCACCCATACACCGTGGTAATCGGCAGACCATGCATTTTTCTTACTGTACTTTGGCTTTGCTTTCACGTTCGGGTACTCAAAGGCGTGCGTGAAAAACAACTTCGACTGTTTACAAAGAGCTGCGTGGACCGTTGAGAATGCCCCTCGTTAGTGTGGTGGGTTGCCGGTAAGTTTGGCGGACAGGCGGCAAGCGGGTACTTCCGGCCTTGTGTTGTGAGAGAATTCGTCGTGGAGGTTGTGAATGCAAGCTAGGAGTAATCTTTCGGAGTGGTGCAAACAGTAGTCAGTAGCAGCCAGCAACGGGCCGAGCCGTTGGAGAGACTACATCGGCCGGCCAAGCCTTTGGAGAGATAAAATCGCACACACGGAACACAGCTCTCAGAGGAGAGGCCGTGTGTCCGTGTGTGCACCCGTGGGATTGATGGCGACGATAATGGGGCATCCACCCAACGTGATCCATCCTACACTGCTGCGCGGTACTTCGAAGCGTGTGTTGGATTTTCGTTCACTTGCCTTAGTCTGTTGTTTTCGCATCGTGGCGTTCCCTCTTTGCTTGGTTCGCAGGCACGGCCCTGAGTCTCAAGGCACCGTGCCTGCGAACCAAGTACAGAGGGAACGTCGCGATGCGAAAACAGCAAGCGAAGACAAGTGAACGACAATCAGGTCACGGCTACGGTTCCAGCACCTGCCAAACGAGCTGCATAGGACCGTTGAGAATGTCCCTCGCTAGTGTGGTGGTGGGTTGTCGGTAAGTTTGTTGGACAGGCGGCAAGCGGGTACTTCCGACCTTGTGTTGTGAGAGAATTCGTCGTGGCGGTGTGAATGCAAGCTAGGAGTAATCTTTCGGAGTGGTGCACACAGTCAGCAGCAGCCAGCAACGGGCCGAGCCGTTGGAGAGATTACATCGGCCGGCCGAGCCTTTGGAAAGATAGGATCGCACACACGAACACAGCTCTCAGAGGAGAGGCCGTGTGTGCACCCGTGGAATTGATGGCGATGATATTGGGACCTCCATCCAACTTGATTCATCCTACACTGCTGCGCGGTACTTCGAAGCGTGTGGTGGATTCTCGTTCACTGCTGTTGTTTTCGCATCATGGTGTTTCCTCTTTGCTTGGTTCGCAGGCACGGCAGAGGAGATGCCACCATGCGAAAATAACAGACTAAGGCAAGTGAACGACAATCAGGTCATGGCCACGGTCCCAATACCGCCGACCGCAGATAGGGTTGTTCCGTGCCCTCCTGCGCGCGGGAGGCGGGGGGGGGTGGTCATGAGGCCGATCCATTCTACGCCTACAGAATGTTCCGCTGTAGGAGAGGAGGCCACGGATGGCAAATGCTTTGTGTCTGACGCGTGTTCAACGCCCCTTCCTAATGGCTACTTTTTGCGGCCATCACACATCACGGGGGGCATGTTCGTTTGTGTGGTGTGTTGCATGTTGCATGCCCTCTCCGTATGCAACCCACCTCTGCTGTGTGTGCCGTGACAGCTTATTTCGCCGCAGCAGCACACGCGCGGGTCGTTAACGTACACATATGCTATGCTCTCATGCATTAGTACACCATGCAATGCCAATAGCTAGCGTTGGGTGCATCAATAACCGCCACCGCAGGGCAGCAAGGTAGGTACATGGGGCTGGCCACCCAAGGTAGTGTCCAACAACGTTGTTGAGTTAAAGGCAGAAGGACGAATGCGGTCGTGGGAAGAGCGAGCGAGCGGGTCTTCGTTCCCTCCGAACCGAAAACATTGCGCAAAAAACTCACGCGTCTCCCGACCGACTTCCAGCGTTTTGTTGAGCGGGAGCGCCGCCCGAAGAGGTTCCAGGGGGCGCTGCTGCCTGCCCAGTGTTTTGCATCCACGACGGCTGGTCCATAGCTCTCTCCCCGAAGCCGCAGCTGGCCGTCCGCGCCTATGTTGGAATCCAACCGCCCTTCGATCACGTTCCGCTCCCCAGGGATTATAGAGCCCACACACGTTCTTCCGAGTGCCCCCTTTTGTTCGCCTGACCGCCGTCTTCTACTGCTATCTCCTAACTGCCTTGGTAGATGGCAACGCACTGCTGTGTGCTGTTGTAGTGTTCTGCACACGCGCCGGACGCGTGGTGTGTGTGTCTGCTGTGCAGTGGACCGGTCAACTAACCGACAGCCGAACTCCTCAAATTCCTTGAGTAGGAGCTCCGCGACGTGAAACACGGGATACCCTCGTTTTTCGCCTCCTCTCGAAGCGCTCGCTCCTCTCAGCTGGCTGCTGGCTCTGTCCTGCTGCTCGTTCAACGCACACACACCTGCTTCCCCCCCCAACGAAACAGAGAGCGCTCGAACGAGCACGGTGAGCGCAAACACGCACTCTAAGTAGCTGATGATCGTCCTACCTGTACCTGCTCCATACCTTTGTTTGTGTGTCAGCGGCGATGCGTCTTGATGTGTGTCAACCTTGTCCTTCCCGTGTCCGCTGTCCCGCCTGGATTGCACAGGTGGTCCCCGATGAACCACGTCCGAGAAGGGACGACACCAAGAACAGTCTTGTCATTCGCCCGCCTCCCACCACGCGTCGATTTTATCCCTAGCCCTCATCAGTGATCATCCCCTCTTGTTATGCCCTCGTTCCTTGATGATGTTGTTGTACCATAGGTACCCTCGACGCTGGACTTTCTTGGGGACTAAGCCGGAAGGGGAGCGAGCGCCTGCGCGTGCTGCTGCTGCTGTCGCTGTATCTAACACGGACTGGCCACGGGAGCCGTAGCTAGCTTGCGTAGCCGTAGAGACGCCCTCGGCTCAAGCATACTAGGCGTGCCGTCATATAGTGGTGGGTTTTTGGAGGTGCAGCGGCACACGACGAGTGCAAGCAAGGCGAAGAAGAAGAGTGTGTGACATCGATCGGAGCCTGTTCGACCGACGTTGCCCCGCTGCCACTGTTGTTGCTGCTGGGGCCTCGGCTTGGCACTGGCCGGCGACCGGAGATAAGAAGCGATAGCCTTGCAGGAGTAGAAACCCTGTCGAAGCAAGCTCGAAAGCACCTCGGGTGTACTCTTCGCCCTTTCGAGTTTTTTTAGGCTAGTGTGTTTTGTCTTTGCCGAGAGCCTGCTCTCTTTTCGGCGTGGAAAGAAAGTGAGGGTGGGTGTGGTTTTCTGTGGGTCCGTTGTAAGCTTGTGCGGCACAGGGCTTGTGCGAGCAAGCTCTGACTGGTGTCCGTTGAGACTCGCCGTAGGGCGAGAGAGAGAGAGAGAGAGAAAGACGATAAAGAAAAGAGAAAAACAAACACCAATGGGCAAGGTTACTCTCGAAGAGTACATTGACCTCTTCCGCGGGAAGGCGGAGCAGATGGGCGAGTTCCCCGACAAGATCATTATCAATGCCCTCACTGGCACGGCCAAACGCCACCGCACTGACAAGGCGCAGGCCATCGCCACGGTCCTCCAGAACATGCTCATGGACCCCAGCCACCCCGCGAAACACAAACTGCCCATATGCTTCCTTGTGGACTCCCTCGTGAAGAACATCACCGATCCTTTCGCCGACCTGTTCGAGAACGGCCTCACGCGCTGGTTCTGCAGCGCCTACGATGCTGTTGACGAAAAGAGCAAGGTGCGAGAATCTTTGCGGTTGTTTGCTGCTGCTGTAGCCGCCTTCCCTGTGCACGTACATGTACAGTAGTTTCCCCCGCCGGCAGTGTGACGTTCCTCTGATTTGGGGTACATGGCGCACAAGCATTGTTTTGGCCAGCGCGTGAGTTCCCGTGCTGCCTGAGTATTTTTAGCGCTCTTTTTCGGGTGAGGGTACTGGAGTGTTCCTGCTGCGTGCTGCGTATGTGCACATGTATCCTGCTGCTGCAGACGCCGTTTTTTTTTTGGTCATCAGCGTATCGTGATTGCCGTGTTGTTGGGCTCGTTTGGCTGGAAGAGGCAACTGCTTCGTTTCGGAAACGGGTATTTTTCGCCGGTCAAGCGCTCTCATCATGCTCTCAGTCTCCCAGCACTCGGACCGTCATATTTGCATCCTGAACCGCTATTGATACAAATGCTACCACGTAGACTAATGGGTATATTGCGCGCTGATAAACTCGCGGCATTCACATGTACAGACCAGGCAGCAGCGGCAGCAGCACAGCAGCAGCAGCAGCAGTGTTGCAAACCTACAGAATGTATGTACGACGCCGGTCGCCGGTGGCCCTGTATAGCGCCGGTGAAATTGCTGGGCACAGACAGCATCACCAAGTCATTCTGTAGTTTGAATAGCGGCGATCCTTCTGAAAAACGCCGGTCGATTAGCCGGGCACATACCGGCGTTATTAGGGCCCACTGGTAGTCGTAATTCTTATGCCTTGTAATCCCGGATACATAGCTTTCCCTTTTGACTACTACGAGTAGCCTTCACTGTTTAACCGTTTTTGCCAAGCTCGCTCTAGCCTTGCAGTTCTACGCGCTGCAGCACCCACGCATCTGCATCTGACCCCAAGCTCACGCATATTCAAAGAGGCTTCCAACTCCCTCCCTTCGACGTTCGGTGCACGCAGAAACACCTGGGCAGGGTAGTGGCGACATGGGAGGTGCAGTCGATCTTCAGCGCTGACAAGCGCAAGGAGATCCAGAGGTACATGCTGAACGCCAAGCCCGCGGCCGCGTCGCTGTCTTCCTCTTCTCCGTCTCCGCCTCCGGCGGCCACCACGGCTTCGACCTCGGCGGCGGTGACCGTGACGACCGTGCCCCCGCCGTTGCCGACGGTAGCGCCGTACCAACCGCCGCAGCCGCAGGCTCCGCCCGCCGCTCCCGTCGCGGCGGCCGCGGCTCCGCTGCCGCCGCCCCTCCCACCTCTCCCCCCGGCATCGGCCGTGGCTGCCCCGGTGGCTGCGCCAGTGGCTGCACCAGTGGCTGCGCCAGTGGCTGCGTCTGTGGCTGCGCCAGTGGCTGCGCCAGTAGCGCCAGACATCCAGGCGATGGTCGACTCTAGGATGAAGCAGCTGCTGGACCAGCAGGTGAGTTGCGAGGTCGGATAAGGCTACATGCAAGGTGCACGGTGGCGTTGACGGTGGTGTCAAATTGGGGGGAAGTTGTGCGGTCGTTCAAACACGTCTCACAACCAGCAAGTGTGGGGATGTGAGCTCGACTGTGTGGCACGTGAGGTTGCATACGCCGATGTTTGTTGTCCACCCCAAGCTACGGTAGGCTGATGACATTACGCGGACGAGTGGATGGCATCCTCGCTGCTGTGACCGGTATGCACGCCCTTAGCTTACCGAAAATTTTCCTGAAGCGACCCTCCCCCTCTGCCCTTCCCGTCTCCCCCATCCAGCTTCTTGAGCTTGGGGAGTCCAGCACCATGAGTCTGGACGACCTATGGCGAACAAACGCAGAACTCGCGTCCGGCTTCCGGCTGGTAGCTCAGGCACAAGTTCACGAGCAGCTCGGTCTCCCCCCACCGCCGCCCCCTCCGGCCATCATCATCGGCCCCCTCCAGCAGCAGCAGCAGCAGCCGCCGCCCCCACATCAAACCGCCCCGCCGCTGCCCCAGGTTCCACATCAACAGCAGCCCCTTCAACAGCCACAGCCGCAGCAGCAGCAGCAGCAGCCACCGCGATCACAGCCCCAGCTGTCCATCCAGCTCCCGCTCGGGACCCCCCCGCCGTGGGCGGCGAAAGCCCCGCCGAGTCAGGACTTCGGGCGTGCCGTCCAGGTCGCGAACGAGGTCGCGGCGGGCGCGCGGGTGGCGCTCGACGCGAGCCTGCGAGGCGACCTCTCCGGGGCGCAGGTGCAGGCAGCCGAAGCGGCGGGAAAGGCGGCGATGCTAGCGTGCTTGTTGGGGGGCGACGCAGCAGCGGCGGTGGGGGGGGGCTTGGGCGGCGCAGGCGCCGGCGTCGGGGTGTACCTCGCCGACCTTGACCCGTTGGACGTGCGGTCTCTGGCCAGGGGAAACCCGGCGGCGGTACGGCGGCTGTACGGGGAAGGGTTCCCGTTCTGGTGCAAGCAGGACGGCACCAGGTTCGCGAAGCAGGCGCAGCTGGACGCGCACATGGACCTCCTGTTCCGGCGGAAGCACGCGAGAAGAGAGCAGAAGGGGGTGGCGGCCTCGCGCGAGTGGTACTGCACCGACGAGGAGTGGATGACAGACTTCGGGCGGCTCGCGCCCCCGGCTGGGTCGGGCGCCGGGGAGGGGGAGGCGGGGGGCGGCGGCGACGGAGAGGGAGACGGCGGGGCGGACGAGGACGCCGACCCGGACGGGTCGAAGTCGTGCGTCCCGGCGGACGAGAGGTTTTCCAAGTGCCGGATCTGCGGGGACCGTTTCTTGATGTTCTACGACAACGACGAGGAGGAGTGGATGTACCGAAACGCCTGCTACGTCACGGTCAAGGGCGGCGGCGAAGGTGAGGGTGGCGCGGGAGAGGACGAAGAGGAGGAGGAGGAGGAGGCGGGGGGTGCGCCGGGGGAGGCCGCGGGCGGGGCCAGGCAGATCATCGTGCACAAGCTGTGTCTAGACGTTAGCGGGCTCCGGGACAAGGACGAGATCACGTGGGCAGACCTCATGCCCGGGACGCCGCGGCAGAAGAAACGGCCGGCCGAGGGGGGTGACGCATTGGATGCGGCATTTTTCGGGGAGGGCGGCGATGACGCGGCGGAGCAGGAGGACGAGAAGGACGGCGCCGGTGAGACAGGCGACAGCAGTGGCACCCACGTTAGCGATAGTGGCGGTGGACACGGCGGGGGAGATGCAAACGGCGGGCGGCCGCACGGTGAGGGTGACGGGGAGGATGACGGGCCACCGCTCAAACGAGCCAAAGCGGAGGGAGCGACAGAGGAAGAGAATGGATTCGGAGAGGTCGACGCGACGGGTGTTGTGAAGGCGGAGGAAGGGGGTTCGGGCGCAGGGCAAGGCGAAGTGTACGACATGGACGAAGAGCTGGATTTCGAAGCGTGATGCGGCGTTGTATTTGCCGTGCTCTACGCCCTCCCCCGAGAGCGCGACGCAACCCCTGTGTGGTTCGTATGTCTTTTGCTCTTTAGATTGGTTTATTTTAGTAGAGCTCTTCCTCCTCGTTGAGGGTAGTGACCTCGTGTGAGGTTGTGGTTGGTTCTTTTTGGCTGAGTCGAGATGCTCGAGTTGCGTCGCTACGTCCCGAAACACTTGGGAGTCGAACGAATTGTCACACCACAACATTGGTGGAGGCTTGTTCTTTTTGGAGCCTCTGTCCTGCGCGAGAAGCGTTCGTTATGATTGGTAGATCCGTGATTCAAAACTTTTGGCAATTGAGAGTAATCAGATCACATTGTTGCTGACTCCGGTGTATTGGTTCTCAAGTACAGAGTGTATGTAAACGTGTTGTGCTGCCCCACCACGCTCCCATCCACCGTCTATGCGAGGGACACGATGGCGTTTTACCGCATGTGTCGCGATGGTTTCGTTTTGGTCGCTGGGTCATCATGGCCTGGCTCTGTCCAATCGAGAGGTGTTCGTACAACGGTGCATGATCGAGTTGAGCGAGGATGCTTTTAGTTTGTTGGCACTTCTTTTGGCATGAGGGGGGGCAGCTTTGTTTCGGTTATTGTTTGCTGGAGTGTTTTGATGCTTCCGCGAGCATGCGCCCGCAGGTCGTTCATGATGTTTTGCACCATCTTTTTGCGAGTACATTTTTCAAAGTGTGTACCAAGTCAGGGCCACGGTGTTTGTGCCGCTTGGTGTTATGGTCACGTGCAGTATTTAGCTGTGTCTGCCGGGAGCACCTGAATCGCTGCAGTGGGTTGTGTACCTGCGAGTGTGACAAGCAATACGAAAAACAAAGAGAGAGAGACAGGCGTTGCTGTGCGAAAGCGACGGAGAACACGACAAAAAAAATGGATTGGATTGTATCGACGACAACCGGGAGAACCGCCCCCCACTTGCCGGGGGCAGGATCTAAGAGGAGAGCGTACAAATGATGAGCCGAACGGCTCCCTCGTCGGTGTCATGCCGCTTCTGAACACACACTCACTCACGTGTAGAGTCCGTTCGACACTCACGCGCCGTTCCTGTGTCGTTATTGTTGTCACCCACCTTATACACGACCACATGATGTATTCCAAGGAGGTCTGGAGGAGGCGGTTTACGCCGCCACTTGTTCGGCACCGTCGCTGTTTTCGCTTCAGAGATCGAGCTTTGAAATCGGTCCAGGGGGTGTGGTAATATCATATCCGACCTGCGGTACTGTAAGTTGTGAGGCGGCCGAGAGAGACAACACCCACCCGTTAATTTACAGATCGGCCACGTCTAATCTAGCGCCTGTGGTCTGTGGTATCTTCAACCGACGGACTTTTCATGCGTACAAGCTTGTCAACAAGATTGGTTCCCTTTTTGAGAACGAATTTGACTGTGACGAACGATGACGTCACTATCAGTATCTCGAGTGGTTGTTCTCTCTCCGACTCTCCGACATGCATATTTTTCTGAACCATGTTGTGGGGATTGTGTGACCAGGGTAAGATGTCGAACAGATACCCGAAATCTCGAGAATGTGGCGTGAGGAGTGTCTCTTGCATGGTCATGTCATGTTCCCTATGCTACAGCGTACTTCTGATCTTCTGATACAGAGCGGGTGGAACACCCCACATGTTCTCTTTTACTCTTACAATTGAGTCACGAGATCTCTTTTCAAAAGTTACGCCGCCGACACACGCCCCACATCTCCCCCGTCTCCCGTGTGTACAGCAACAATCTCTTTGAATTTGGACAGAGCCTCTGGTGGTGCGTAGCCACGTTCTTGGCATGTTCGGTGTGGTCGATCTTACACACACTGCTGCAGGACTGACGAACGCGGAGCTCGTTTGCTGTCGTATCGTATCTTGACAGAGAACGAGGATCGTTAGACTTCTTTTAATTCTTCCGTTTTGGTGATGACACAGAAGAAACTGGCTTCTTGCCGAAAGCCAGCAACCGGCAAACAACCCGCCGCGAGAAGATTGTTGTTGGAGCGAGCTTGGGACAGAGAGCCGTGCGAGAGAAAGGTGAGGAAACACCTTAGGGGAGCCAGGAGAACGGGAAGGCGGCGAAAACGACGTCACCCCACGTGCCCAGGGAGGAAGGTCACACTCGGAGGCAAGTTTTTTGCTGGGGAGAGGTTGGCGGCTCGGGTGTCATATGTGAACGCGTCGCCGAGGGTTCATCCGGCTTCCGAGACCAAATTTTCGTCGCGACGCACGGCACAGCATAGATCATGCGTTCGGGATACGCACGCGCGCCACCGCAGTTGGTGGAGAGTGCAGACAGCGGGTAGAGCCAAAGCAGGCCATAAGAAGCAGCGCGGCTAGGCGTTGGGCACCGGCGGTAGGAGCACGACTGATCGCGATCTAGGGGGTTTGCTCTTTTTTGTTTCGCTGGCCACCTCCTCCTCCCTGCGGTCCGACACACAACCCATTTTTTTACCGGATCCACACTGCTGTAGCACAGCAGTGTGCGAGTTGCGAATCAACGTCGCAATACGCATGCCGCAGGCCTTGTGAGATCAGGTAGAGATACGCTAACTATGCTCGCTTCTAGTTTATAATATTCTTGAATGTTGCTAAGGAGGAAGACGGGAAAGAAGGAGATGAGCGTTCCATCTGCTTGGGTGGTGGTCTGTGTGTCTTGCCTGCTGTCTGGCATGGTTCCCTCGCTCGTCAACGTTTCTCTTCAGTTTTTGCCCGCACTGCGCAGAGAGAATATTAGGCATTCGATGACCTCACAGACTGGTTAACGCAACGTAGTAGTGAGTGTGGGAGGATAGCACACGCGTTCGTCAGTCACGATGCGAGAAGCGCCCCGTCATTTAGTAAAAGTATCAATGGTTTTTCCTCGCCACACCGAGAAGCAAAAGCAGCAGTTTGCGGTTGCTTGCGGACATTGAATTGGGGCGCGCCGCATCTTTGGCCACCCAACATAACCCCCCTCCCTCACCTAGCGCTCGGGTGCGCAGCTTGTGCAGCCCCACGCGCCGCACAGCTTGAAGTGTCCTACGTTTATCTCATACGTGCGCCCCCGCCAATCTATCCGCCCGTACCTTTGCTTCTCCCTCTGTCTTGTCTCAGAGATTTTTCGCTGCGACGACTAGACTACTTTACTACTGCGGACAAGGTAGCCACACAAAAAGCCAAGGATGTTCTCGTGCCGACTGATGAAAGTGAACGGTGTTCTTCTGCCCGAGGTCCTGGGGGCATTGGGGGGAGAGGGGCAGCTGGTCGGATGGAAGGTGCACCTTAGGCACGGCTCTCAGGAGCATCGTGCGCAGTTCACCGCCCTTCCCTCGAGCAAGAACAACAGTTCAACGCCAAGTTTGTCGGTGAGACGGGGCCTTCTTTTTAGAAAGCATACATGATCTCACAGAAAGCTCAGAAAATAGTCTACTCCATCACCTGGAGGGTGTGGGGGGGCGCCCGGTAGGTTTGAAGTACAGACAACAAGGAGGGCAAAGCTCAGCAAAAAATCGAGAGGGCGAACGCATGTTTGTGTGGGTAGCTTTCCCGCCTGCTGATGATGATGCCCGCCATCCGCCGATGGTTGACGAGGTGCGTATACACTGGGCGCAACCGCTCTATCCGCTACAGCTACCACCGCCGTACCACAACAATCATGAAAGTTTCGTTCGGGAGAACGGCACATTGATACCGGTACAACATTTATTTGTGCCGGTTTCCCTCCATGTAGTTGGGGCCTCCAAGAAGTAAATCGGTTGGTTGTATTTTCTTTTTTTTTTTCTCCCATCATTGGACTCTGTCGTCTGCCCCTCTGGCCCCCATCCTCCACTTCTACTTGCTAGACGACCCAACCAACCGGGGTGGGTCACATAGGAGGGGGGGGTTGGACCCCCTCCTGTGGTTCCCGCCTGAGATATTTTTATCGCGAGAAGGCTACAGCAATCCCTTCCCTCACAACGCGCTTTGCAGCGCGTCGCTTCCAACTCAACTTATTAGGCCATTTGTTACGTTGTCTTTTATATTAGATATTTTTTCCCCCTAGACTCAGCCTAAAGAGACGACCCAAAAAATGATCTACAAAAAAGATGACCCCCTTCTTGCGGTGCTGGTCCATCCTTTCTTTTTTTTTTTTTCTTAATATGACACAACGAAACCATCTCTATCATAGAAAAGAGTCTGAGACAGATTAGCAATGGATTCTATTCCGAGTCATCGACCGAAAAATAGAGACCCTGCAACGGCCGTTCGTCACACACACATACATACTACATGCACCTTCCACCGCTATGGTGTTTCGGTGATATCTCCGCATACAGTGAAACAACAGCGATGACAAAGGCATCCGCCATGAGCTGTGTGTATGGTCCGTCTTGGGTGGTGGCTGTTAGAGACCACAGGGTGATTGGAGGCACGGAAACTGAGGTGGCGAGGGTCAACAGCAAGACGGAAAAATACCCACCACGCCAGCAACGTTGAAGAACCAGTTTTTTTTTGCTCGTTGGCCTTTGTCGCAACTTTGGTTTATCGATGCTCCCTCGCCACCCACTCCAGCACCAGCGATGACAAAGGTACCCGCCATGAGCTGTGTGTATGGTCCGCCTTGTGTAGTGGTTGATACAGACCAGGAGGCTGAAGGGCGCTCAAAAATTGTGAGCGCAAGAAGAGCCGTGAACAAGCGGGAAAATGACCCGCCTCGTCTTCAAGCAATTTTTTTGCTCTTTCGCCCGTGTCGCAACTTTGGTTCATCGATGCTCCCTCGCCACCCACTCCAGCAACAGCGATGACAAAGGTATCCTCCATGAGCTGCGCGTATGGTCCGTCTTGTGTGATGGTTGACACAGATCAGGAGGATATAGGGCGCCCAAAAGTTGGGTTCGCAAAAGTTGACAGCACACCAACAAAGACCCCCGCTGCTGCGTCCAGACTGACTCACTCTCGGCTCGTTTGCCGCTTGTTTGCGCCGCACACATCGGGTTGTCCACTTGGTCCAGCCGAATGAAAAAACAACGCTACCGCTGATGCTACTGACTCTGCACCAGTCATATGACACAGCTCGTGTAAACACCGTTACAGTTTGCGGGGATCAACCGTCGAGAGATGAAGTTTGTAGGTAGCGTCATGCGGTTGTGACCGAAAAAAGACCACAGACAGACAAAGACAGCCCCGACGTATCCAAAACTGCCCCAGAAAGAGACAGGATGGGCTGTCCAACACGGGTTGTCTTTTTTGTGGGCCTTTTTTCCCTGAAAAAATACACCGTAAGAAGGGGTTCTGTGGCCAGTTGTCTTTTTTTGAGAAGGAAAAAAGAAAAAGACAGCTCCAAAAAAGAACCGTAAGAAATGGCCTTAGACCAGGATTTATTTAGTGAGAAAAAGAATGTAACACGTTGAATCTACATCTATGTACGTTCCTCACACGAGATATGTGTCACACACCGTGTACGTACGTAGATGGCCTTGAAGCACTGGCTTGTCGAATATGTGAGATAGAGAAAGATTTAAGTCTCTGTCTGCAGCTCGTGCGTACGGCAAGAGAAGACACGTGATACGAGTGACGTCCGACGTACGTTGTAAGCTAAGCACGTGGTACGATCTCGCAGTCGGTCACAAGCGGAACTCGGAGCACAGCGTATCCGGATGTGGTGCGTTGCGGCACGGCTTACGGTACACAGATGGCTGGTCAGTATCACCGACGAGCAGCACTCGACAAATGGCGCTGAGACAATAATTGAACGAACCTCCGCTGTTCTCGAACATCTCACGGGCTCCCCCGCTTAATAACCACACACACGCAACTCTTTCTTGCCTTTCTATCCCGTGCTCGGCAGGAGCCCCGACGCATAGACCTCGTGACCATTTCCGGCTCTCCCTCGAAGGAAGAGGTCGAGTTCGAGGACAAGGGGGTGGAGGAGACGGTGGAAGTCGCGGTCCTCTTCGACTTGATAGCGAGGTGAGTCTAACTATTGGAGTAGTGCTTCTTTGTTATTAGATAGCCCTCTCAGAAATAGAAGCATTCCTTCAGAAAAAGTCCAATAGGATTATGCAATTGCTTGGTTGCTACGTCCAAAGTCAACCTGAAGACCCTCCTCCGGCTTTGACCCTACTCGATTCGCGCTTGGCGACAAGCTATGCGCAACAGGTTGTTGGGGTCGGACGTGTTCTTGTCTCTGCACCAGTTGTTATTATTTCTCCATCAGTTGAAAGGAGGATATTGCTACGATGGTCCGAAGCGTTGTTAAAGATATCAATTGCTAATTACATGGTGAATCGGGCAGATTTTCGAGACGAGGTTTGCGCACTGCACATGGAACTGTTTTTTTGCTCCCCGAGATGCGAATTATTGGGCACGCTCCGACGCTGACGTCGCGCGTAAGACACTCACACGTCCACGTAGACAGCTTTTGGCAGAAGCCAGCGTCGCTGGCGGTGCCGCTTTTTCCGCACAGCAATCACCTATTTCATGAATGGCACTGCTGCCATTCTTCTTTGTTCTCTTTCGCGTGCTGCTTGGCGATGGCCGTTCTGCCGTCCGCCTGCCTTCAATAAACCCACCAATACACGCATGTTTCCACATTCTGCTGCCCTGCTGCTTGTTTCTGAATGATATTCGGTGGATTATGAACGCTCCTCGGTGGTGTCTGAACGGTGCTCAACGAGGTCTGAACAAAATTTCCTTGGTAGTTTCTGAACTATCCTGGGTCGCCCATCGCCCTTGTCCGCACCCCCTCCCGCCCATGCTCCCCTCCCCCCCCTTCTTCTGTCTTGGTTGCGTCGCACCATTCGTAAAAACCGCGTCGCCGCAGGGAGATGCCCAAGCGCCAGCTGTTCCGCCATTCGATTGCTTCGATCGATCTGGACGCGTTTCGTGCCCAGCCAGAAAAGAGGTACGTAGCAGGTACCTGTTTCGTGCGTGCGTGCGTGCGTGCGTAACTTCCCCTGCAAACTGCCTGTAGGTTCCGTAAAAGCGCGTGCGGTTGCATGGCCAGTACCGACACTCCGCATGCTAGGTCACCCCGTCACCACCATCCCCACCCTGAGACGGGCTAGTAAACACGTGGCAGTGCGTAGCCACGGCCTTCGGCGCCCGAGACATGACAAGGGGAAAGAAAGGCGGAACTGTCAACACTACGTAGCCGTGCTGGTTCCTGGTCACCCACCAAGAGAAACGGGGCAGTAAAATAGTTGAGCCGTGCCCTCCCGTCCGTTGGCACGTCAGGAAATGGCGAGAAACGAATCCTAACAATTGATTGCCTGTCAGTAGTGCAGAGCTGGAACATGCCGAAAAGGAAGGGGATGGGGCTAGCTGAGGAACAAACCACAAATTTCCTTGCTTAAAGAGATACTTCCCGACCGACCGACCGACCGAGCCAACCCACCCTATCTCGAACCCAACCCAATCCGCCCCAAAACACAACGTACATAGTCTCAAGGTCGCCCGGTGGTGGTATTGTTCGTGTGTTTTTCTGGTGTTTCGTCTCTTGAAGGGATGCATGCGTGGCCAATGAAAAAGTAAGTTGGCGGGGCATTAGGTCGGCCCCACACCCCCGGTGAAGGGCAAGGTATTTCTTGTGCTGTTGGACCTGGGCCTGTCATCGTTCTCGTGCGACATCCTGTGTACAACATGTTGTTATCGTCTGCCCAGGGACTGCGGCTCGTAGAGAGGTTTGATTCGAAGAGAAAGTCGGGCGTAAACGGAGGACGAAACAGCTCCTGCGGTAGTAATAGAGTAGTCCCACACGGAGGGGTACCACCCTATCGTCCGCAAGATACGACCACCCCAGTCGGCCCTTTTCTTATTTTTTCGGACGACTCTGCATGTTCCAGAGAAATTCGGAAACCGTGGCGGGGCCGGCCGTCTCTTGAACGACCTCGGTTTTTGCATGTACTGCAGAGTCTCGCGCGCTGAGCACACACATCTCCCAATTTTTTGTTTGCTACTTGCAGCTGTACTTATGCGGCACGACTTAGGTAGGTGCGTGTAAAGTGTCGCGGAGGGGAGAACCGCTGCTGCTGCCACCGCCGCATGCCGCCGACTTGACTATTCTCATTCAATCCGTCGAATCCCCGAACATTTTTTTTTCCCCGTCTGTGTTTGTTTTTGTTCCTCTTTCCTATTTCCCCAGGGTGGAGCTTTGGCTTCCCTTGCAGCCCGTAAACTCTGGCAACGACCTTCGCGACTACGGCTCGATACAGATCTCGATCATGTACAGCGACGACTGCGTGAATCAAGGGTGAGCAGAGACTGACGAACAGGCGTGTTGCTGTAGGCAAGGAAGAGGCGGTGGTATCATAAAAGTATGTACTGATGTCACCCGATCCACTACCCGCACCGTCGCGATGCGAGCTGGCGCGGGCTGAGACCGTAGAGAGCACGGCCAACCGACAAACCATTCCATTTGAAGGAGTTGTCCGCGCAGGTGGCACAAGTTAGAGAATCAGCCACAAGCTAGAAAGCGAGCCGTTCGATCGCAAGACGGCTACCGCAGCCCCCCTCCTCTCACGCTTCCCCCGTTTTCCACCTGTCCCATTCCGCGGCGCCCCCTCCCGCCCCTGACCGGACGTGTCTCCAGGTACATGTTCGGGCTTTTTTGCGGGCTTACTCTCCCGCGCTTGAGCATCCATCCATCCTGATGCCCACTTCTCCATACATATATCTGTATATCTCTGCCGACGAGAGAGAGAAAGCGAGAGGAGGGACCCGTTCGACGCGTGGCGTTTTGGCGCTTCGTGTTAACCTTCGCTTGGCGCTGACAGCCGCGTCACATTTTGGGGGGGCGTTTTTTCTATCTTCCCGAGAGATTTGAGTTTATATAGCCCACCCTTTCCGAAGGCGGCAGTAGGGCAGCATAGCGGTGTCCAGAACGAGGATACTTGGCGGCAGCGTGGGTTGTTAGGGCGCAGTTGTAGCGCCGGGATGAAAATATAGAATGGGAGGGACTTCGTAGATCTCTCAGCCCTACCCCCTCGCAGGCCTGCCTCTCGTTCGGTCACCCCCTTCCCCCCCCCCCCCCGCAACCAACCCTCCCATCTCAGTTGTCTTTGCATCGATACCGCAGTGGTAGAGATGGGGTGGCATCGGGGGGAGGAGGGGACAGCAACGGCCTGCAATGTTCCCAGTGGTCGTCGGGCCGTTGGTAGTGGCGTGAGCTGTGGCTGGTCGAAAAACCGTTCTTGCTGCGGGCGGGTGCTGTCCATCGTTTGCTGGTGGAGAGCCGAGGGTCGGCCCCGTAGGAACGCGACAAGCCAGCGGCCTACTTCAAAAGGCGCGAGGCACCCGCCACCCGCCACCCGCCACCCGCAGGCGAGGTGACTGCTGTGAAGAGCTTTTGAGGGGATTGTTTCGGCCTGTCGGCGGCGTGGCAGCAGGGAAGAAGGCTCCCCGACGCCTCGTTTGCCTTACCCTGTCTGGTATTTACCATGACATCCAAAAGCCTGTAGTTTGCGAATCTTCTTGCCTTTATAGGGGGGGGGGGTACCTATAAAGATGTTTCTCGGCTCAAGGGGGGGGGGGGTATGCAGGACGTCCATACCCCCTGCCCGTGGTCTGTTTTGGTTGCGAAGTCACTCTGGTTTTGGATGCCTGAGGGTACCACTCATCCTAGCCGCAACGTGGCGGTAGTATGTGGTAGGCTTTTTTACGGTACAAGTTGTGACGCGTGTTTTTTACTTATGGAGGGTTGATCGTCACCTACTATTTACGTCAATGTCTTTACGTTATGTATGTGTTGGTGGTGTTCTCGTCGAGAGTGGAGGTTGCGGGGGCGCCAACGAATGCGGAGGAGGGGGTGTCTGGGTGTCTGGGGGTGCGGAGTATGTCTGCTAGCGGCGTGAGAGAACCCTGTTTTGTCCGTGTTGATATTTATTATGTGTGCAGTGGTGTGTGGTGTTCCACGGGTGTGGATTGCGGCGGGATATTTTATGGTGTGTGATTTTGTTCGCGCGCGCGGCTGTGTCCTGTGTGTGGTGCAGTGCGAAGGTGCCATCCCTTGCCATCTCTGAAGGCTGTACTACCTAGGGTGGAACGTGCGTGTATTTTTTGTTGGCCTGAGACGACCCGTCCACCGGCTGCTGCTTGGTGTTGGCCCGGTTTCGCGTGTGGGCGTCCGTGTCGTTGAGCTAAAATTCTACCTACAGTCGCCGTCTGACCTGATGTGTGGTGGCAGTGGCACAGCTCTAAATCGAACACAAGATCGTTGGTCAACCTTTTTTGCTGGTAGTCCTTCGAGGACTCCCGTTTGGCTGTGTTTTTTTATGCGTAGAAGCAAGAAACAGAAACTATATGCTGCGTGATTTCGCTGAATCACCCGTGTGTTCACACAGGAAAGCCGCCGAGACATTACACTTTTGGGCTTGCGTCAATTTTGTTGGATTTCGTTGGGCTTTTGGGGGGGCATGTGCATCCTCTTCGGGGTGTAGTGTTGTTTTGGAAAAGATGCGGACATTGGCTGGAGAGAGTTTTTTCGTGACGGTGTCTGTTTTTGTACCGTGTGTTTCTTCAGTATTCCCCGTAGACGAAGTGGCGACGATTTAAAGGGATCCGCCCAACCAACACGTAGTAGTCGAGATGCTTGACTTTTTTTCGGCATCAAACTCTCCATGTTTTTGCTCTGTGAGGTCGATCGTGGTTTTGAGCCACAAAAGATACGAAAACGGTATGGGAGACAGCTGGAGTGCAGTTAGTACGTGTTGTGTAAAATGCACACATGTTTGTGTGTGGCAGTCTTTGTTTTGAGCCTTGTCTTTCCTTGACCAATTGACTTCTTTCTGTCCACTGGTCCGAGGGCGGAAGAAAGTTGAAACCAGGCGTGCATCGGTCTGAGACATGAGGCCGCAAGAGTGTCGACTGGTGACGGTTGTAATTTAGTCACTCTTGTTATCTTTCTGACCGCACCCCCGCTACAGGTAGACAAGAATAACCCACAAGAACACGCGATGTACAATAGAAGGTACGCAAAGTAAGGCCTTTAAGTGAAAGCGGGGCAATCAACGAAAGGTAAAACGAGGACCAAGAACAGCAGCTGGAGTAGCGGAGTACTACCGGCTTGGGGTGATCCACATCTTCCTCTCGTTATTATTGATGAGCTCGCGCCCCGCAGAGAGAGAGAGACGGGATCTACTGGAAGAGGGAGTAGATCCGACGGTTCCTTCAGCTCGATTCCTCCGCCGCTCTCTGCTGCGCGATGGCCGCCACGCGCTCCAGCCGTCTTTCTCTAGCCAGTCGTCTTGCCTTTGCGTGCAGGACCACATCATCCTCTGGACTGTGCGTCGTCCCTGCCACAACAGAGATCGAGGCCGAGGCGAAAACAAACAAGCAAACAAAAACAAGAAAATAGTAACATGAGAGAAGACGAGGAAGGGCGCGCGAGATCGATCGGTGCACCTAGAGTAAACGTTTCGTCGGCAGCGCGCTCTTTTGCAGAGGTTGGCTTGGTGCAGACGGGTGTCGTATGCTGGTCGCCCTTTCCGTCCGCGGGATCTTCCGTTTGCGATGTGCTATGTATGCTCGCTAACTGAGAAGTCTTTTAGCCATGATAATGCACGCAGCAAGCTAAGCACGTTGTGACGGGAGAAGTACGCCCTCTTTCGCCGACTTCGCACTGCTGTGTGTGGTGACTCTACAGGTTGGTGACAAGCTTCTTAGTAAAAGAACCTCAAGACCACTGCTGTCTGGGCACATCTCTCTCTGTTCCCATTCTGTCGCATACAGCAGGACAGGGCCACTCTCACCTGGGATTGGGCTATCCAAAGCTTTACTGTGCTGGATGTTTAGGCCCCACACGTCATCGACAGGAGCAACTTTGCCCGAAGTAGAAAATAACCGCCGGAAATCGTAAGCTACAACTAATTAGTTTATCCCGAACACTCACGCGGGCTCCTACCGCCACACTACGTTCGTGGTCAGCTCAAGCTCCACCCACGGAACGCGATCTATCGCAACCCCCGACAACTGGTGAGTGGCAGCAGAAAGACAAGTTGTGCTTTCCCAACCGAGTTTCGCCCCCTTTGTGCACACACACGCTGATGGGGAGCTGAAGCCAACCCGCGTCGCTCACCGCGTTCGTTCGCATCGCAACCCAGCCGAAAACCAAACCGTGAGAAAAAACGGAACACCGCCGGAGCAACGCCGTGTGCGTGACTTGCCTGCTGCGAGTGGCTGAAGACGTCCTCGGACCACGAGCTTCGACAGCCTCGAGCAGGAGACGTACCTTTTAACACAAGGAAGGAGCGGAGGAGCAAGATGTGTCGTTAAAGGGGTTGGTTGGTTCGAAGAGAGTTCGGGGTCGGACGTGATAGAGACGAGCACCGACGACGAGGAAAGGGTGTTGAGTGTGGGTGACGCGATATTTTTTTCCCGTAGTCTCGGCGGGAAACGATGGTAGTACTGTAAGGAGTGGTCAACTGGGGGGCGCGCGTGTGTTTGTCTGATTTTTTGGCCGGCGTGCATATGGACGACCTTGCGGTTGTTTTGTGGATACCTTCAAGACCAAGATGCGACTCGCAAGGGGGGATCATTTCATCAACACTGGAAGACAGGTGAGTCAGCACAACACGGAGCGAACACCAAACTGGCACTGAAGGGAATAAAGCGCCATGGTTGAAAATATACCTTCGAAGGATTTTCTATCTAGACTCAATACACAATACACCAAGTAACCAGAACCCAGGCCTTCAAGATGCATCCCAACACTTTCTACTACCTCACGGTTCGAACGAGCAGAGATCTGTCCTAGATGCTCACCCCGTTCCCGTCGGATCAGTCTCCTGCAGTAGCTCGTCCATCTCGTTGGGCAACAGCGGCTGGCCGACGCGGCACAGGACCGCCCTCAGCTTCTCGGCGCTGATGAGCTCCCCCCGGCCGTCCCCCTTGATGGCCTGCAGGGCGCGGTACACGTCCGACCGGCGGCCCGTCGCCACGTACGAGCTAGTCTCGACCAGGATTTCGCCGCCAGACCCGTGGGCCATGGCCGGCGGGACGGCCGACGCGGTGCCGGCGCTCTCGCGCAGCCACTCCCATATCTGCCTCCTCGCCTCGCTGTCGGGCATGCTGCCGGGAGCTCTCTCGCCCTCCTCTCGTCGCCGCCTTGCGCACGGCCTCTCGCTCTGTTCCCCGCGCGCGGAGTGGCGTCCGCTGTGCCTCTGCCTGGTGCCGACGACTCGTGCGCCACCGTCACCACGACACCCGTTGTTGGTGCTACCACCACTCATCTCCGTCCCACCGCCCGGGGTGGTAGTCGCTGGCCGCCGCCGCCGCCGTTGCTGCCCTGCTCCCTTTGCCGAGCTCGTGACCCGACTGCCCGGTGTTCCAGGGCCGCGGCCCTCGTCGACACCACCCGGCATAGGGCAGGACGCGGGCCGCGTGGTCCCTCTCCCGCGCTTCAATCCGCCGCCGCCGCCGCCGCTGACGAGCACGGCAGAGCTCCTCCCCATCCTGTAGTCCTTGAAGTGGACACCGCCCGCCCCTCCCGCTTGACGACGTTCCCTGGCGGCACCACCGCCGCCGCGGCCGCCGCGGTCGCCGCCGCCGTGAGCACCACCGTCGTGGTCGTTCCGCGAACATCGGGCGCCGTGCCCGGCGGCCAGGCGATGGCGTGCCCCCCCGAGGGCCGTCTCGTGGTCGCCACGGGGGAGCGCCGGCGTGGCGACGCCTCCTCTTCCTCCTCCGCTGCTGCTGCGGCATCGCCCCTCGCCGAAGGACGGCGCGGCGGAGGAGAGGGAGGCGGAGGACACGTACGGGAGCCGCGACTTCGCGATCTCGTAACGCTTCTTCGCCCTCCGGTTTCTCCGCGAGGGCGAGAACGTCACCCCCCTTGCGGTCGTCGTCTTGGGGGCGGTGGTGCGAGCGGTGGCAGCAACAGCAGCGGTGCCGGCGGTAGCGACAGGCGGCGCCCCTCGAAGGCCAGTCGTCCTCGCCACGGTGTCATCGTCGTCGTCCTCCTCCTCCTCCTCCTTCCTCGTCGCCTCTTCCTTAACGCTAGGGAGGTTCGCCGGAACGATGAAGATGGTGCCTCCGGCGATCTGGTACTTGCTCGAGTCCAGGATGGACAAGAGGAGGCTCCGGGATTTGGGGAAGCCGCTCGTGAGGCGGAACCCTAGGTCGAGCGGGGTCTCCCCGAGGTGGTTCACCGCTCTCGCGTCCGCGCCGTGGGACATGAGAAACACCACCACCCGCAGCGCCTCCTGGGCGTGGATCTAGCGATTCGTTACAAGTCGGGCGTGGGAAAGGTGGGGGGAGGGAGGGAGGCGTCATCACACGCGGGCTCTTTGACGACTGCGGGGGCACCAGCAGCAGCTGTAACTAGAGTCCGGTTCAACGAACAGGACGAAGAGAGAGAGCTCAGAACCACGCTCTTCTTGTAGACGCCGCCGGAGAGAGAGACCGCCCCCCCGAGCGTTCCGGAACGCAAGAGATACGAGTGGGTCGCACCTTGGACTGGTCAACGCCTGTCGTGTCTCCTCCCCGCGCCACGACCGCCGCACACTCGGCGGCATGCTTCACGGCGTAGTGCAGGGCCACGCACCCGTACGCGTTGGTGCGGTTGACGTCGACGCCCCTAGATATCAACTCCTTCACGCGGAGTATGTCGCCGATCTGGCTCGCGCGAAAGATGCTGGCGCCTGCCAGGTAGCCCTCCTGCGACATGGCCTACGATGTCCGACGACAGTAGCAGGCATGGGGGATGCACGTTGAGGGACAGAGCAGGTGTTTCGCATAGTTGGCGATCGATGTTTCTTCCAGGGACACGCACAGTGTACTTCACGGAGGTAATAAAATGGCACGCCCAGGTTAGGTTCTTGAAAACAAGGAAATGCTACCAAAGTTCAAGTCGAAGGGACGTACGTGACCACGTCGAGTGTCGCGGTGTGAAGAGAAAGTTGTCGCGACTGCTCATGTTTCAGTATCCCATCCAAAAGACTACATGTTCCTCTAGCAGCCGCTTTTATGTGCCTGTCGTGTGATTCGAACAAACCCTGTGTGCCCCCCGGTGGACTACCACTTGGTATTGAATGTGTCGTGTGCTGGCGTACGCGTCTAACAAACCTAAGGCAGCAAGTGACCTACCACTAGTTTGATCCAGTATACGAACCCGTGAGAGAGGGAGGCAGTGTGTGGTCACTCGCACCTGCTCGAGGAGGTTCGTCCACCTTTCCAACGCCAGGCTGTCCTTCGTGGCCAGCGTCACGCAGCGCAAGGTTCCCCCGACTGCTGCCGTGCCGCTTACCATCAGAATCGCTTCCCTCCCGAGTCTCTTGCACAAGGCCTCCTTTCCTGTTTGTCGGCGAGCGAAGCAGTGACGAGAGGCAAGGCGGGAAGACATCAAGCCTAGTGCTGACAATAGTTTTCAAACTGAGCGAGTCACTTGCATACGAACACGATTCATGAGTTAAGCAAGAGCGTCTAGAACTTGTTTGGAACCAAGTTTACGGGAAGAGCAAGGGTGAACGACGAGTACATGCTGCTGTAGAAGGCAATCGATCGATCGCATCGAGGGGAGCACACCATTTGCGGGGGACGCAGAAGAAAAGGCGGCGTCGAGCAAGACCAGGTAGATCATTCAAAGATGCTGGCGGCTACAGACACCCTTTTTCTTGTGCCCTAAGAAAGAGGACAGACCGTAGCCAGACCGTTGTCTGCATTGCTGGTTTACGACGATCTGCTACTTCTGCGTGGTTGCGATGTTCACCTGCTACTTTCGCGTGGTTGCTACATGTTTTCCTGCCGCGGCGCGCATGGTCTCACCAGGGTCAATTCTTGTCTGCTGCACACTCAGCGGGAGAGAGAAAAGACAGGGAGTGTCGGGCTCGGGCCGGGTCGCCGACTCGAACACCTGCAGCTCTCCTGGCAGCACCCGTATCCAACGCGGCTTCCACACCGTCGCAAAACCCTGCGCGCCTCTCTGGAGCTTGTCGAGAACCCCCTCCGCCACAAGATCCTGAGTGCCGGCGGCATCACCTGGGACAGCGGTGCCGTCCTTGGCGGCATTGTTGGCGACGGGTAGTCGGCTGACGACCTGCTTGAAGTGGTGGAGCTCATCGGGGGGCACGCCGGCCTTTTCGAGGGAGGCGACGATGAAGTCGATGCGGGCGACCACGTCGATGGCGTCCTCCGTGTTGACGGAGATCCCATCATCTACGTATAGCATTCGCGAACATCATTTGCCGGTCGTTTTGACGCACGAGGACGGAGGGGGGTGTTAGATTTTTGGAAAGGGTAGCCTGAAGTAGTTGGTGTATGGATGCGGAGAGACTGTGTAGCATGTTCTGTGTTTCTTATGTAGCGGTGTGTGTGCATGACGAAGGGCGTTCGAGTCGTTTATGTATGTTGGAGACAGCAGAGAAGACCAACCACTCGGTGTAGACGGTACATAGCTTTGTCTGACAGTATAAGTGTAGTCTACTGTACAGTCAACCCTGCCGAAGCAGTTCAAATGGAGTGGAAAATAAGGGGATGAACCCAGGTGCGTAGCCACCAGCAGTGCTTATGTTGTGTATGACAAAACAAAATAATAGAAAATGACTAGATCACACATTTGTGCACCAGGAGACATGCTCCATTCACTAGCCGGACGTACTGTAGAGCTCTTCGTCCAAAAGGTGCAAGCATCGTTGTTGCTCAATCTTGCAGCGGCTGCTCATGTACCTTTCGCATGTACTCGGAGTTGACCTGCGGTATTTTTCAGCTCTAGCCACGAGACAACTTGCCTGTAGATGAACCCATGGTACCTAAGAAGCAAGGGAGGGCCCACCCACCCCTCTCTTCCGGTCCCGGGCGTGTATCGTGTAGTATGTTGTGTATCCCAGAGGGCCCGCTGTCCCGCTCTATGTACGAGGCTAAACAAGTATCGGTTCGGGGATTTTCAGCGGCGCAATTTGGTTAATTTCGAGGATCTCGCGGCGTTTTGGTTCACTCGGCTGGCGCGCGCGCTGGTGAGAGCCGCAGAGCCGCAGAGCAGAGAGCAGCCTTTGGGAGCCTTTGTGGCACTGCTTGTTGATCTTGCTTGTGTGTGCACTCCAGCCAGGATGAGGAAAGATGCGAGCGTCCTACGGCTGGTGCAACTTCTCGTGCTTCTATTGGCGATTCAACTGGATGCTTTCGCGCTGACTCCTGCTGGACGCAGCGCGCATTGCGGGGGTCAACCGTCGAACCAGGCGACAAGCTTGAACGGACCAGGGAAGCTGGCCGGTGTGGGATCGTCCTTGCGCTCGGCCCAAGGGCTCTCTCCCGAGTCGCGCGCCAAGGTTCCGTTGACGGTGCAACGCATGTCCGGTGGTGGCGAGGGCAGCCAGGTACGTTGGTAAACTGGTGTCTGTTGTTGGAAATTGTATTTTTTTCATGACTGCTCATGAATGCTACGACTGCCTGTGCATCTGCTGCTGGTACATGGAATATTATTATTAGCATTGTCTGTCTGGCTCTCTTGTACAACAGACCTTTTGTGCACTCACTAGGGTTGCGCTGCAGCGTGAGCCCTTCACCAACTTTGCAGGAAGATCGACTATCTTTGGCACCAACAACTCGCTGTGATTTTGGCCGTAAGCCGACGTACATGCGAAGCTCGCGATCGGTCTGTAAGGCGACAGACAGCAAGCAGTGAATCGAGACGGCAGTGTGCCTACCAACAACCAGCATCGAACACCAGACGAGATTCCCCACCTATTTGTCATCTCTTCAGAGAGGGTACAGTTAGCGCTACGAAAGCACCCAAGAACTTGGCAGTCAAGGCGTTGATATAGCCTCGAAAAACTCAAAAATTGAGAACTTTACTTGTAGCACCATTTTGTGAGCTCGGGTTTAGAACCCCTACACTAACCCATGTACTGCTGTACATAGCGGTGATTCATCTAGTAGATAGCATTCCCCTATCATAGGAGCTATGTACCATATCTAAGATCCCCGCCCTCGGCCAAAGCTGTGCATAGAGGTTTCAAAGTGCGGGGGGGGCTACTGTAGGAGCCACAGCGCAGAACGTCTCTTACCATTCAAGGACATTTAGCACGCAGAAAACAGTGGACGCCCGAAATGCGATGGTCTGTAGAAAGATGTATCACGGCGTGACCTCACACCCTTGACGAGTTTACTGCGGCAGTTCGCTTCGATACACAGACGGGCGGTTCCTTCCAGTGTAGTCCGCACGGATGCACGTATTTAGTCCTTGCCTCGAGAGAACCACCAAGTTTTGTAATCTTGCAATTCCTGAGTAAATCTTGACCCCTCGACCGAAAACACCGTGAACAGGCCGCTAGCGAAGAGGGAGACAAGTCTGGCATGTCGGCGTCCGTCTTCAACCTGGCCAAGAACATCTTGGGCGCTGGAATGCTCTCCTTGCCGAACGGGGTAGCTGCGTTTTCGGATTCCAGGTACGTACCGTGATGTCAGCGCACGCCTTGTCTCGTCGCTTCGAGGAAGTTTTTTCCTTCAGCATTTTCGTGGGTGGGAGCGTCGAATTGAGCGAGAAAGCTCCATGGGCCAAATCATCTCCGATAAGCGCATTGGATTCAGCCTCCACTAGACTTGTAGCTTTGAGGGCGGCGTCTGGATGGAAATCATCGTCGAATTATGTAGGCTAGCTTGTATCGCGCCGCGATTTTGTGGCATTGCAGAGCAGCATGCCTCCACCCGTTTGTCTGTGCATGCGTGCTTTTTGAAAACCGTCCCGAAAATTTGCCCCGTAAATGCAGCCCTCGCGACCGGAGTGTTGCAGTAACGCACCATTTTAGAAACCTGTCGACAAGGCCAGCAATGCAGCCGTCGAGACCGGAGTGTTCCAGTAGCGCACCATTGTAGAAACCCGTCGACAAGGAAGGCCAGCCAGCGCTTAGCCGGCACTCGCCCACTGAACGCGCTAGAAACTTAAGTACGTTTCCCAGGGTTCAAACTCCAAAGTCGTCTTCCTCGTACCCCCATCCCTATTTTTGCGCGATCGATCGAGCCTCGTCGCACTCTCTAGTCTAAGCCCTCCTTACAAAAGAGTGTGTATGCATATGTATATCAAAACACGATTGGTTGCGTGTTCACGCTCATACTTTTCTCTCGGGGCCCGAAAAAAAAAAAACTTGTGCAGGAAGGCCATTGTCCCCGCCTCCTTGATCATCGCCGCGCTGGGCGCCGTGTCCGCCTACACCTTCGTGCTGATCGGCCGCTCCTGCGCCGAGACCAACGCGGAGTCCTACGAGCAGTCCTGGGCGCGCACGGTGGGGCAGAAGTCCGCCTGGGTGCCGGCCGGCGCGTGCGTGGCCACGTGCTTCGCCGGGTGCCTGGCCTTCACGATCATCATCGGGGACAGCTTCTCGGCGCTGGCCAAGACCTTCGGCGCGCCCGCGCTTGTCGCCAAGCGGTCGAACATCATCATGGCGGTCTCGGCCACGGTGCTCTTGCCCCTGTCCCTCCTGAAAAGTGAGCGAATCTTGTCGGTCTGTACGGGTCTGTACGCACGGCCCGGCAGTCGTTTTTTGCGGTAGGCTGGCTGGCCGTAAGAACAGCAGCGACGTTTGAGTGGAATAATACACGAGGCTGCCCGTTCGAGATATAACCGCAGTCGAACGGGATATGCCTGAAGGCTTTTCCGGTGAGTGTCGTTTTCGGTTCGCACGATTTGTTCGAGCGTGATGAAGGAAATGGGAGAGATGTTTTTGCGGTTGTGTTGATGATGATTTTGGTATTTACCGAAGTATGCCAAAGTGCGCACACGTGTCTGCCCCCGGAGGAGGCGGACGTCTTCTCCTGGCCGCACCATCTGCGATTGGCACCAGTCCTACCCGCGCTCGCACGGTGGTGTTCGCTGTTTTCTGCCACCCCATACATGCCGTCCGTCCTTCTAATCATGCTTTATACCTCCTTTTCCCTTTTCAATTACCTTTTCATATTTTGTTTTGAGCGCGTTGTTGTTGTTGTTGTCTTGGTTGTTGTTTTTTGTTCGATTGTTTATCGTTCTTTATTTTTACTTAGTTGCATTTTTGCTGCTGCTGTCGCGCTGGCAGACCTCAAGTCCCTTGGGTTCACGAGCATGCTGGGGACCTCGGGCCTTGTCTACACGGCCGTCATGATGGCGATCCGCTTCTTCGACGGCTCTTACGCGGCCGGGGGGAAGTTTCACGCCCTCTTGCCCGCGGCCGGGGCCCCCGTGTTTGACGCCAAGGGCACCAATCCCATATGTTTCCTGGTAAGGGCTTGCAGCAGAGGATAGTGTTTCGGAGAAACCAGACAGTGCAGTTGAGCTGCTCCTATTATTGGGATAATGAGAGAAAATTGTGATGGGTCATGTCTGCAAAGTTTTGGGAGTACTGCTGTAGTATCCGAAGCCGTTTTCGTAACATGAGGGGGGAAACTCCGCATCTGTTCACTGGTTCGTGGCGTACTCCTGCCAAGCAGAGGGTCGCGTGGCGATTTTTTTCAGTTTCCAACGCGGATGCTTGATTTTTTCATATACATCATCTGCCGTTTGGAGTGAGCGTAACACTTCGGCGAAACAGGGCGAGCCGTGAGATACACATTTTACGTAGTTTGCTTGCTTTGTCGATAAATTCCTGGTATTGTGGTGCGTGCTTGCGGTTTCACGATGCTTGTAACGCCTACACGAACACGTATTCCGCCAGTCTGGTTGCGTGCCGAACCGAGGACAAGACGCTTCTTCCTGATCGGAAAACGTTGCCCAACCCCGACCCACATGTCTTCTCTTTTGTCACTCAGCCCTCAGCGCATCTCTTTGGCCCTAACGTATACGAAAGCTCATGTTGTGCGGGGTGGAGAACCCTCACTCCGCGCAACGGGGGATGATCGCACCACGTTGTGTTCAAATGGTCAAGCTTCCTCGAGGCAGTTACACAGTGCTTACAACTGTCTCTGGAAGTGAAAGCACCAGAAAATAAATTAAGTCATACGCAGCTGTCATCCGTACGCAAGGAAGTAAGCACAAGATGCCGAACACCCTTAGCAGGATGCAGCTCACCCTTCATGCGACTCGCCAAATACCTCACGGCGCTTCGCGCTTGGTGATGTGAGAGCCTGGTCCGGTGAGAACCCGGCGTGCTCCGTCCCGGCTTTGTAGGGATGCGAGGTCAATGGTCAAACGACTACGGCATGCACGACTATGAGTACACCCCCCCCCCCCCCCCCCCCCCCCCTCCCCCCATGCCCCTCCCCTTGTTGCCGCCTTTCGGTTCGTGGCCGTGGGGGGGGCTTCTTGCGGTTTCCTCCCCTT